AACTATTGCGAATCTAGCAAAATGGTATAGGACTTTTCACCTCAGTTTTATTCCTTCTACCTGCCTACGAGCGATGTTAAACCAATTCTGGGACACCCTGTATATTAATTAAACGCATTATGTTAAAACTAACAAATATAAAATCATTGTATCAATAGTAACGTAAGTTTTACGAGATATTACAGATTTTGTAGAATATACGTTTATCTTCGAATTCATCTTCTTTTCCATTCTCTCTGTTTTTCTCAATTCTTAACAATAGGAAAATATTTATTTCTTTATTTTTTCCAAGAAAAGAATATAAACATTTGTAGCACCTTTAGACCAATGGTGTTTTCTAATTTGCATATACTAACTTACGTTACAATCTAAAACATAATAAAAGTATTAATTGTGAAATGAATAATATAATATATATATATAATTATTAATATTGACTTAGTTCTTCGTGGTGGTTTTTTTTAGTGATTACTCTCCCTACGTTCTATCTCTTGAACTCTCGCAACTTCTTTCTCTCTCTTTCTCTCTCTCTCTCTCTCTCTCTCTCTCTCTCTCCTTTTGCCTTTCACTCTTTCTATTTCTTTCTCTTACTCTCTTTTCCCCTCTTTTTCATTGTCTCTCATTTGATCACTCTCTCGCATCCTTTCTCACTCTCTCTCGCACTCTGTTTCACTATTTCTCGCACTCTCTCTCATTCTCTCTCGCATTCTCTCTCACTTTTTCTCACTCTCTCCCACTTTTTCTCACTGTTTCTCGCACTTTCTCGCACTCTCTCTCACTTTCTCTCGCACTCTCGCTCACTTTCTCTCGCACTCTCTCGCATTTTCTCTCACTCTTTTTTCCACTCTCTCCCACTTTCTCTCACTTTCTTTTATTCTTTTTCATTCCCTTTCATTCTCTCTCTCACTTTCTGCTACTCTCTCTTTCATTCTCTTTCATTCTCTCTTTCTCCCTCTCTCTCTTTTTCTCTCGCTCTCTCTTTCTCTCTCGCTTTCTCTTTCTCTCGTTTTTTTTCTCAGCACATTATAATTCTCTTCCTTATCTTTCGTTCAACTTGCTCATGACGCCATCTCTTGAAAGCAGTAGTACTAATGCACACATTCCTTACACATTGGAGACGAGGTCCAAACATGATAAAATTTTATATAGTTTGAAGAAAATGTGTAATATCGTCAAACAAAATACGGTGACAAAAAAACACATAAATACTTTTTTTTTAATTTTTGTAATCCGAATCGATTGAGACTAAAAAGAAGTCAATCGGTTCAGTCGTTAGTGAGATATGAATATTTTATATTTCACAATTTCTTTCAAAAAGCGATATTTGCGTATAATAGGCACGGTGCGTCTCGCGCAGTTCGTGCGCCACTTTGTTGCGCGTAAACTTGACGCGAGGCATTACCGTGCCTCTTGATCTAGTGGGCAAAAATCAAAGGCATAAAATTTGAACACACCGTATCGTATACTGCACAATTAAATGGTACGGCTGAGAGAATAAACAGATCGTTACTAGAAAAGACTAGATATATGTTATTTGTTTGAATTTTATCAGGTAATTTATTGTATTCGACGCAGTGTTCGTTTGTGAAACAAGAAATGTATATTCTGACAAATATTTCGTACAAAACGTTATATTAGAACGATATAATAAACGCAGAATTTAATCACCCGTAAGCCTTTTCTAACATCTTGTTGTCGGTATCACAGCAGAGAAAAAAGTGCCTGGTCCTCGCGTTTTCGCTCGCACGTGCTGTCCCCCTTAAGCGCCACGATACCCCTTCTTCTCTTCGTACAATATTGTCGCAGCGGGCGTTTCAAAACTTATTTTCTATTGTAACATTATTTTGTTTGAAGTTTGACAGAGAAATGTGAGGTGAAGAAGAATGTTCTGACTACAGCATATTTGTTGAATAGAGTCTAAGTGTTACAGTTGATTTAACTTTATCGGAGAAATGTAAAAAAACGCTTAATCTATTGAAAATGCAAATTTTTGATACCACAGTATTTGCTCAAATTGTGAAACTATTAAAGAAACTAAACAGTCGATCACGAGAATATAAGTTTGTTGGTTACAGAATAAACGGATACTGTCTCTGGAATCCTGAAGAAAGAAAAATTTTTGTAGTTAAAAACGATGTGTTTACTAAAAACGAAGAAAACAGGTTATTAGAAAAAGAAAACTCAAGTATACCATAATTTACAAACAGACTAAGAAGAGACAGATCAAAAAGACACTGAAAAAGAAAACAGCAATAATAAAGAGATAAACCAAGAAGATAACAATGATGAAGAAGATAATAATTGTAAAAAAATTATGAAGAAACAGATCAAAACAGTGAAAATAAAGAAGACAATAAATTATTTTGAATACGTAATAAAATAAAACTACTATAACGATATTTTTCGTTCTTTTCCTTCTTTTTGCTTTCCCAATGTTTCTCATTGCAACAAATTTTTGGTGATAACTCCGCAATATGCACAATAAAAAATGGTTCAAGTAACTGTTATTTAGTTTGATGACATCTTTTAAAATAACAAAAATTTAATACCACTTTCTATTTAGAAAAATGTTGAACGGCTCTTTTTCTTTTATAGCAGTTGCTTCCAAAAACATCTGTTACACACTAAAAGATTAGCTCCACTGAATCATTTAATTTAAAACAAAAGTTTTGTTGATATCTTTATTAGATTTTGAGAAAACAGCTTGTAACATTTTATTCGGGACACTCTGTATATTACTTTTGATATACAAGGTAAAACAAAGTATCTAAATATCTCAGAAAATATGTTTTACAGAAAAGTATTTCAGACAAAAATAGTATAGTGTAAAAAGATCTATTTACTGAGATTGCATTACTGTGATCTTAGATTGCGCCGTCAAAGTCAGGTCAAGGTCACATCGATTTTTCTAAATGGAATTCTTTATTTTTTAGTGCAGATTCTTATAGCCTAACTCAAAAACTTTCCAAAACACTATAATAAAGTTTATTTTCATTAAGTACTTTTTGATTTATGAGGTTTGATTATTAGAGTATTGCGGGTATTAGCATTATGTATTGGTGTTATCATTCATTTCGAATGTTGCTTTATCCAAAAAAAACTATGTTGAATAAGAAGTTAGGTTCTTTGTCAATTCTCTGCATTATGAACTCACAAAATTCGTTTTGATCGAAATCATCTTCATAGAAAAAGTACCGGCAGTACTCTAATATTCAACTCTCATAAATTAAAAAAATTCTTAATGAAAATAAACTTTATTTTAGTGTTTTGGAAAGCTCTTGAGTTAGGCTATAAGAATCTGTACTAAAAAATAAGGAATTCTATTTAAAAAAAATCGATGTGACCTTGACCTGACTTTGACGGCGCAATCCAAGGTGACAATAATGCAATCAGTAAATAGATCTTTTTAAACTATACTACTTTTGTCTGAAACACTTTTCTGTAAAACTTATATTTTCTGAGATATTCAGGTACTTTTTTTTCACTCTGTAGAATAAAAAAACTAAAAACTTAAAATATATATATATATAAGAAAAATAGAAAAAGAGTTTATTAATTATTCAAAATAAAACCTATTTTATATTATGTTAACGCATACGTACAGCAATGTATGTAAAATCCGACGAACTTATGTTACACCTATATACATATATGAAGTATGTAACCAATATGAAATAAAATATAAATTTTTTTAAAACCCAAAAATGCATAAACACATAAAAAGTAGACACTTTAGATATTTTTGTTTTTATAATAAAAAATTTGGTAATTATACACAACACCTAGGGAATCATCTCCGATTTCAATAATTTTCACATATATGGTATCAATGTCATTGTCCTGAGTAATGGTATGAAGGTTTTAGGTCGCCCTCGTTGTTTATTAAAAAAGTATTAATAAAAAAAATATAATGAACAATATGCAATTTCTGGATATCATATATATGAATATATGTTTTGTGTGTGTGTGCACATGTATTTGTATAAAGTATACGCTTTCGTACTATGTTGTATCCTACAAGATCGCTAGTTCTTAAAAAGTTATAAAAAAAGACAAACAACGAGCGCGGCCTAAAACCTTCATAATATCACTCAAGACAATGACTTTGATAACATATGTGAAAATTATTGAAATTGGGGGTGACTCCCTAGATGTATATAATTACCAAAAATTTTAACAATAGCTTAAAAAACAACTTTTTAAGCCAAGATACTTTTTTATAATTGTTTAATTTCTATTTCTACTCTCTTGAAGAAAAGTAGAAAATTTTGTTTAAATCAGTCTTTTCTAACTACATCGAAAAAAAGAAAAAAGAAATTGTATGAAGTAGATGATAAAAAATATGTGTTTGTCTTCAGATGCAATCCTTTCGACGGCACATGTGAGTGTAGGCCGGGATTCGGTGGCAGGCGATGCAATGAATGCCAAACGAATTACTGGGGAAATCCTAACGTGGAGTGTTATTCGTGCGAGTGCGATGTAATCGGCTCTGCTAGCCAGCAATGCAACAGAGAAACTGGAGAATGCATTTGTCACAAGGGCATCGGCGGTGAAAAATGCGATCAATGCGACCGCGGCTATCACGGCAAGGCTCCTCAATGCAGTCCCTGCGGCGAGTGCTTCGACAACTGGGATTTGATATTGAATGGTCTCAGAAATAATACAGATGTCATTATTCAGGAAGCTTCGAGAATACAAAAGGTCGGAACGACCGGTGTGTATAGCCAAGAGTTTGATGACATGGAAGAATCTTTGAACAAAGTCCGACATCTAATTAGCAATGCAACTATCGAAAGTCAAGATCTGGATGCATTAGATTTATTAGCTGAAGAATTGGCGAAAAATATATCTGATTCAACGCAACAGTTAGAAGAAGCAAACAATCTTCTGGAGAATCTCAGTCAGCGAGTTAACCTTGGAGATGTCGCACTGAAAAAATTGAAAATCAGAACAAATAGTTTACATGAGCTTACCGTCGAGTTGCGCAAAAATGCTACTAGACTACAAGAGGAGAATGTACAGGGTGCTCTAAATGTGACTCAACAGATGGCCGAGCAGTCGAAACAGGCTGAAAAAATGGCAAATGACACTAGCAATGTTCTGGCCGATGCGGAGCGATTTCGTAAGCATACCGAAAATCTTTTAGCAAAAAATCGCGTATCTGTAAACGAGGCTCAAGCAAAAAACAAAGAATCAATAATTAAGTTAAACGAAAAACTAAAGACATTTGATATGGCTTTGCCTGAGTTAAATCTGCGAATGTGCGGCGACAATGTAACGGATTGTAGCACTGTTTGCGGCGGTGCGGGCTGTGGTTTATGCGGAGGATTGTCTTGCGATACAGGTGCGGTTACCAAAGCTAATCAAGCTTTAGAAGCTGCTAAAAAGCAGACTGCTGAAATCAAAAAACATAAAGATGCGGCTGAACAATTGTTACGTAATGTGAGTATCTATTTGTTTATTATTATATATTAGATCAGAGAAAGCGTGTGCAAATAATCAGAATTGATTCTATCAATTTTGATTGTTGCTTCTTTTCTTGACAAGTTGATTCAACTTGTCGGGATCAGGCAATTCAACTAAACTTTCTTTTGTTTTCTTAAACTTTTTGTAACATACTAGCACAACACAAGCGCACACTACGCGCACGCTATTATTTTTATTTGAACGTGTTCTGTCAGTGAACACAATCTATCGCAATGACAGCTAATATACATTAGAGAGCCTCTCAAAAAAGAGAGTCGCAAACTCGTGACGTCACAGTCGCTTCTGATTGGACAGAGAAAAAAGTTGTAGTGACGTTATGAGTTTGCGATTCTCTCCCTGACAGGCTCTCTAGTTTACATACGTACAACATGAATCGAGAAACGTCACCAAGAGACATCTAATCAGCGTCGCGAAAAAGAAACAATATACAGGGTCATCGAAAAGTATTGGACCCCCCTAATATCTTCAGTTAGAATGCATTTTGGAGACAATGTCCAATAGCAAGGTTGTATGATTTCAAGCGAGGAGTAAGATGATGACTTTGACTTTGATCTTGACCATGTCCTTTAAGGTCATTTCAAGGTCATCCTTATTTTTTTAAATAGAATTCCCTACATTTTATTGCATATTTTTATAGTTTATCTCAAGAGCTTTCCAAACAACTATAATAAAACATTTTTTCATTACGTACTTTTTGAGTTATAAAGGTTTGAAGTTAACAATTTTTTGACACAAAATGTAAAATATCTTGTAAAATATTATTTAGTTTTCAGTAATCATAACCTTAATACTTTTGTGCGCGGAATAATGAGACCAATTAATTGGTCATCAAAAAGTGTCGGATCCCCCTAATATTTTCAGTAAGAATGCATTTTGGAAAAATAGGCTACTGCGGAAAACAGCTCGAAGATGATCGCGAGAAGTTGCTCAAATGCGTGATGTCCGAAGACGTTAGCGAGAATCTGCTCGAAAGCGTTGGCGGGGCCGATCTTTATTCTCTCACTCTCGCAGGCACCAATGTACGAGCTCACACGCCACTCTTGTGTGGACTCACACGCCACTCTTGCCTTAACTGGCCAGAATCACATGCCACTTAACAAATTGTTAATTTCAAACCTTTATAACTCAATAAGTACGTAATGAAAAAATGTTTTATTATAGTGTTTTGGAAAGCTCTCGAGATAAGCTATAAAAATATGCAATAAAATGTAGGGGGTTCCATTTAAAAAAATAAGGTTGACCTTGAAATGACCTTAAAGGACATGGTCAAGATCAAAGTCAAAGTTATCATCTTACTCCTCGCTTAAAACCATACAACTTTGCTATTGGACACTTTCTCCAAAATGCATTCCAACTGAAGATAGGGGGATCCGATACTTTTCGATGACCCTGTAGAATCGATTCTGATTATTTGCACACGCTTTTTTCTGGTTTGATCTGATGATGACTGATGATGAAAAAGAGTTGTTTAAAATCTTGTTTTATATGCACTCTACTAGACAAGTTTGAAATAAAAAATGTATAAAAATTATTAAAATAGAAAAATATTTGCATGCAATGATAATTGCAAAAGTTAAACTTTACTTGTTTAAATAAAATGACAAATATTCGCCCCCCGCTTCGATAAGCGGGGAGAAGATGCGCACCTATCTTTTCTGTAGTGCTTCGTGACGCGGTGGGGCATGCGGTGCGGCGCGCGCAGTGCAGGAAAACAATCGCTAGGCTCAAGCAGTGATGAAAGATTTGACCGGTCAGCACCAAGAGTGGGAGCTACTGGGAGACGCACACAAACGAGAACCGCCGTCCGGGTGCGTGACGTCACCACCTCGGCGCTCTTGGTGCTGGCCGGTCAAATCTTTCATCACTGGACTCAAGGCGGTGTGCGGTAAAGCGGGCGGTGCGTGTTTCGTAACGCGGGAACGCACAGTGCGAGAAAACACACGACTCTGCGTGTGTTTACAGTCTCAATGTCTTACTTGGCGCCGTGTTTTTTGCCGAGTTTTTCGCCGGGGCAAGTCGTTGGTCCCGGCAGTAACGCTGCGAAGAATCGCATTGTTACATGTATATTTAGTTGTAGAATCTATCTTTACTTCGAGTGTTGTAGTTCCTTTCAAGAAATTTAAAAAACAAACTGTTTGCAGATATATTCTTAAGACTATAAATATAGAAAACTATAAATATAGAATATTTTTAAGAAAATCTAAAAGATCGATATTTTGGCAGTTTTAACTAGGCTCTTTTAAGTTGTGATCTTAAGTGATACGGAAAAGAATATGTAAGACTGTTATTTGGTTTAGCTTTTTAATTTAGAAAAATATTTTTATTTTTCATAAACTTAATTTTTGCGGTACATAACAATGTCTCAATAACAACTTATCTCACATTGTAGTTGGCGCGCGCTCGCCACGCAAACCCACATATGTATTATTGTGTGTGCATACACGCATATATTTATTACTTAATTAAAAGAGAATAATAAAACATTTGTTAAACTTTTCTTGATTTTTTCTGTGATTTACAAATTTCTTCATATTTTTTGCAATTAGTGTTTGGTTGTTATGATTAATTTTGATTAATTTTCTCAGATGAGTCAAATCAAACAAGAGTCAGCAGCAGCTAGATCTAACGCACAAGATGCTTTTAATTATGCATGGGATGCGCGAAATCGTTCTGACAAGATCAACAAAGATCTCTCAGACATAACCAAACGTATTTGGAGTACTTTAGACGAAGATCAACCTACACCGTCTATGGTACGAGATCTTGCATATGAAGTGTTAGAAAGGAACATTCAACTGGAGCCGGACAAAATAACGAGATTAGCCGATCGCATCAAGAGTATCGTAGGGTCTCTTACCGATTCTGAAAAAATTCTTACTGATACCAAAAACGACCTTCAACTCGCTTATGATCTTGAGGAACGTGCCAATCGCATTAAAGAAATAGCTATCAAAAAGCAAGCTCTAGCAAGTAAAGTAAATCTATTGTTGAACGATGCACAGAAAGCCCAATATATAGCGCAAGAAACAATTGATAAAGCGGAAGCTGACGTAGACAAATCTCAGAAAGACTTAATAGAAATCGCAGATGTGACCAAAGCCGCTAATTTCCAGGCAAATAACACCACTCAGTCAGTAGAGGCTCTAGAAACTCGTTTAAAGCATCTTCAGCAGCAATTCGCGAAACAGAATTTTATCTTAACAGAGATCGGCGCAGAGGTAAAAAGAGTGACTGATGAAGCACAAATCGTTGATGGTAAGACAAAAAAGCTATCGGAAGAATACAAGCAGGCGGACGAGTCCTTAAACCAGCGTGTGAACAAGAGTAAGGGCGATATTCATCGAGCAAAGAGACTTTTGCAACAAGCTTCCGAACTGACAGCGGATACTTCAACCAAGTTCAAGGATTTGGACGGTATGGAGAACGTCTACAGAGATAATGAGCGAGTACTAGCGGATCTCATGGGTGACGTGGATGCGCTAACAGCGGAGATAGAAAAACATTTAGGAGAGATTGAGAAAAAGTCACAGTGGTACAGACAATGTTCCGCTTAAAATTTATAATTAGTATTAACACATATATTTTGATTGCATTATGTCCGTAACGTATGAACATGTGTGAAATTGATAAATATTTCTATTTCTTATTACATCATATATACTATTTTTTTACAAGATTTAGAATCATTTGCTAATTGAGCAAGATATTTTTTATTATATATTTATATTGTATATTGCTGCAAAATGTTTAAATTTTCGGTGCTTCATACTTGTGCAATAACTGTCAAGAGTCTAGTAGAATAAGGAAATTGTCTTTAGAGATAAATTATTGTACTTTCTATCTACATTATAATAGATAAATATAGCGTAGTATGTATGCCTATATGTATGTGTATGTATGTGTATATTAATTCCTATATCTTTACTTATCTTAACTCTTGACTCATATATTAGCATAGCTTATTATTATAAGCCAGATGTGAACTAGTTTAGTTTTTGATATTTCTGATAGTACTTCAGACAAAAATTTTTAAAGACAGGTGTACATATGATGCATTTATCTATTAGAGAAACTACTTTTAGATGTTGTTATATGAGATTATCTTTAAGGATTAATTTACTTACTTTACTGGATTCTGCATATACATATTTTTTTTCGAAATACTTCAGAGAAGATTATTATTAGTCTCATAGATATGACTAGCCGACAGACCAGAAATAAATTTCAATAAACACGACTTTCAAAAACAGATTTTGTTAAATGCTGACGACATCAAAACTAAGAAATGTGACAGATCTGCTCGAGACTTGCTGTGAATTTATCGATGATGATAATATTAATAGATTTGTTGACAAAACATAGATGTGTTTTGTAAATGATCACTGATCTGTTGCGATATTTTGCTCGAATTCGCAGCCAATCTGTTTGTAAATTGCAATTTTGTTATAAGTTGTTTTGTGATTTTAGAATATGTGACCAGCTGGTCTGTCAATCTCTGTGACTGTGAATCTAGAAGTTCTCGAGTTTCAAATCCTACTATTTGAATTTCTTCAAGCTGATCTCCTTTTATCGTATTAATTGGTTAAAAAATAAACTATCGAGTCTCTACATTTGCTTCTTTAAAAACAAAACCTGATAGCCTTTTGCATAAAGTGTCAAGCTTCAGATGGAAGGCAACTTTTTGAGATTTAAGTAAATGCCAATAATACACAATATGATATGCTCCTGATTTGGTCATGAGCTATGTTTTGAAGAACTATTATTTCTACTATATATTCTTATTTATTATATATCCGTAAAAAATTTATATATAGTTTCATCAAACTTGATCACTTTCTGCTACCCTAACAGGCACATTTGTGAAAATATTGCACAAAAATGGCATCATGAATGGCAACGATTTTGCAATGATTGCACTAAGATGATTCGCCATAACGCAACAGTTTTGTCGAAATAAAATTTTGTAAATAATATTTGTCAAAAATTACGAAAAAGTCGTTATGCATTTCTACAGTATATATCTCCAATAGGCAAATTGTGAAAATATTGCACAAATATGACATCATGAGTGACGACGATTTCTTGCATTTCTTCATATGCAATCATATTTCTACATATTTTTTAAACATCACATAGCTGAGTTTCTTTTCTCAATTATTAGACAATTTCTTTATGAAATTAATTTTGCAAATATACTGCTAAGATGATTCGCCATATCATTATTCTTTTGCCGAAATAGTATTTGGAAAATAATTTTGCAAACAACTACAAATATTTCAGAAAAGATCAATGTTTTTACATCTATTTCCTAAAATACGTCTGTATAATTGCAAATTACAATTTTAGTGCAAGATTTCGTCACATAATTTTGTAAATGGTTTCCTATCAGGGTACCACCTTACTATCAAATCTATGTTCCATAAATCTGCTACAGTTTTAATATCGCGAATATTTGACAAAATCTGTATTTGATAAACTTGTCTACCAGAGATAAATGCAAAAAGAACTTGTATACGTATCAGTTATACATAATATGTTATTTAATTTGTAACTATCAGCAAATGATATTTTTTGAGATTTTAGCTTCACTAAGTTTTCTTTCAATTTTGTAACTTTTGTAATTTTACATTGCACCCGATCACACATGCGCGCGCGCGCGCACGCACGCACGCACGCACGCACGCACGCACGCACGCACGCACGCACATATATATATATATATATATATATATATATATAAAAGTGACTGTTAACTGTATCACACACATACACATTACTCATAAATAAATGGAGGAGGGATAAGTTCTAGGTGCGCACAAAACTATTGAGTACAGTTTCAAACAGACACTATCAAAAAGGGACACATGACAATCTTAATCGGACATATTAAGCACCATACTTGATAGAGTTATTTAGACAATGGCATTCAAACACAAAGAAACAATTCGGACACATTATATAAAGATGCATTTTTTTAAGTATCAACAAAAAAATCGTCACTTGTTTATTAAAAAATTCTTAACAAAATTTCGTAAATAGACTAACGTTTTCCGACAAAAAGTATTAAAACAAGATTACTTTTTTATGTCTTTTTTGTATCGTACAATATTGTAAATGTAAATAGAGCAGAAGCAAAGTATCTCTCTTTGTATCTTCTCCTCTAGCTTACCCCAAGTTGTCATAATATTAACATATATCGATAAGCGATACGTATCGTGACTTTGTTAGTGATTCTGTTGTTTATTGTCCAATTGGAACTGCGTTTGATTGAGACTGTCTTGTATCCGTTGCAGCTTAGGTCTGATTGAAACTTGTCCAATTAGCATACTCTGTCGTCTCCGTTTTATTTTGTACTCATCTAAATCTTCTCCTAGAGAAAAAGGATATTGAGTCGAAAAGTTCTCTACCATTTTGCGAGTAATATACCTTGGATAATGCTACTGCTGACATTACTACAACTTTCAAGTTTTATAACTTGAAACATATTTAATAAAAACATCACTTAGTGTTTTAAAAACGTTTCGATTTTACTTACAAAAATAAACAATAAAAAATAGAGGTGTCTATTTAAGAGTTTTTTGTTGACCTTGACCAAACTTTTTAAAAAGATGCTGAACCGTCCTATTTTATCAACCTAACTTAATAATACGATTATATTTTTCAAGTTTTTGTCAAACTTACTGCACAAATTAGGAAACAGTCTTCAAAATTAAAAAAAATTTAAAGACGCTGCACGCAATAAATGTTTCTGAAACACAAATATTTTTTATCAAGAAAATTGACTATGTTATATTATATTGTATATCTACAGATTTAAAAGTTTATATATCAAATCATACAGTGACAGATATAACTTTAAAAATATTACGAGATAAAAGAACAATTTCAAAATCTGCAGTAAAAGAATATATCAAAACTGTAATTATACAAACACAAAAATTAGCTTTTCTGTCAAAACAGCACTACTTAGGTTCAAAATTTCACACCAGAGGGATTGTTGCGTTCAGTAGAACGACTGCTTTAAATGTAATTAGCTCTTACTTTTAGATCCAACCAAATCTAAAAGAAAAATGGACAAACCGAACAAGGGATAAGGAAAGAGATACATATGTCTATCCTTGTCCTTAATCCGACAGAGAACGTTACCTTTTAGACAGTGTAGCGGCTGAAGCAGCTGATTCGAAGGTCACTCGTCGTTTCAGCATCTTTTTAAAGTTATTCAAAGCTTAAATAAATATCACTAGCTGATAGATTTTTGTAGATGATCGTTTTGGAACCTTTGCTACGCAATGTACATATACATGTACGGACATATCAATCATACTTTTTTGTTTTTGTAGCAAAAAAACAGAATTTTATGATTTCTTTCAGTAGTATAGTGAAACATTATTAAAAAATCAAAATATATGTATTAAAAAAGAACTTATATATATATTCTGATATGGTAAAATTATATATATTCTATGTACTATGTAAGTGAAATAAGTGGAATAAAAAAAACTGATTGATATATCGATATATTTATTTTTTTATAAAACATATTTTTATCTTATTTTTTATATTCTATTACTGTAGTAAAAATGTAGTTCTTATTTTTGCTAATTTTTGAGTTAAAATATTTTATCATTTTTGTTAAGAAAGTGATTTGATTCTGTGCTAAAACTATAGTTTGATTTTTTATTATAGTTTAAAATGTTCTTTGATAAGTATGTTTATAAACTTTATAAAAATTTTCTGCGCGGTGTTTTTTAAGTTATTAAAAAAAGTATTTAAGAGATATTGTATTATCAGAAAATTTAAGAATTGATGCAAGTCAGATACAAGTATTCTTGTATTAAATAAAAAACAGATAAAAAGTCCATTCGAGCCAATGTTCACAGTTTTGAGACGTACAAGCTCTTGCTGTTGTTGTGCACATTTTCTTAAACGCAGCAGCACGTTATAAGCATCTGAAAAATGTGCAAATTGATTCGAGACAATACACAAAGTGTTGATGTTGAGATCGGGGGAAGAAGGATAGGGTTGAAGAGACGAGAACTTTTTTGCAGGCAGAGATATTCCGTTTATTCGTAGATTAACTGTACAAGTGATAGTTTTGTCGCAGAGTGCTCGCAACTCTTAACAGTCTGCCTATACCTGCGATCGATCTTTTAAAGATCGATCGCGACGAATCAGCACCAAGTCAGTAGTCTAATGCGATTGTGATAATCGTACTTAAGCCGCTGACAGTGCACGCTACGTTGTATTTTCGCAATTATAGTCGCGCATACTTTACTTATTATTTGCTCAGTAACTAACATTTTGTTGCTTGCAATTTTTCTTACTGACTCGGGTCAGTTGAGCATTAATAGTAACTTCCGTTAATTGCACAATGGCCCGATCGAAATTCCTAATTGATTTCACAATAGTGTATTTAACTTTTAGTGAAAGCTACTATGTTGGTTTAAACAACTATTCGACTATTTTTTCACAATTTTATATATATATAGTGAAACACAAAGCCCGAAGCACGAGCAATCCTAAGATTGATTGGTTAATGGGTAGAAAAAGCAAGCGTTTTGGTCAAAGTTCAAAATAGTTGTATTTTCGGCTTTTGACTGTTGTGTTTTTAGTCAATCCTAGGAGTAACTAACACGGCTAGTTAAAGTTAAAATCTAAAAAATCTTTTTTTTATTACTTCGAACTTTGACTAATCAATCCTTTTTTTTAATGAGGGGAAATGCGTTATGCACCTCCGCCCTGTGGGAATTTGGACGGGGAGTGTGGGACTCGCACCCACTAAAACCTCTCAATGGCCTCCACCGGACTTAGTGAGGGAGCCTGTTGCAGCCAACAGGCTATTACATCTCCAGGCCCCCCCTAGTCCAAGACATGTCCACATAGGACAACGCCCCCTATTACCGTCGCCTTTGGGGTTGCGGCAAAAGGAGAGGGCCATAGCCCTCCTCGAACCACCCCTCCCTGAGGACTTGTGCAATGGCGTGGCAAGTTCCCCAACTTGCCACACCAAGTCCCCGCTCCCCGTGACCGAAATCAAGAAGGGTCAATACAATTCATTCGTATCCCCTACCCGCGACCAAGCAGCCCCTTGACAGGGGCTGGGTCCAGGGGTCACGCCCAAGCCATGACCCCTTTACCCCGTGCACGGAAACTGCCCCCAAGCCGAGCCTATTTGCTCGACTTGGAGGACTTAGGTCCCGGTTTCTG